ATCACTCAACAGCTCCGCCTCCTCGCCGCTGATTGGCCACCAGAACTGTAGATCAGGAGAGGCACACAGGCGGCCAATCACCGGCGAGGAGGTGGAACTTGGAGAGGAGGAGCCGAGCGGCAGCGCGCGTAGATCGAAGAAGATTGAGGGAGCTGCCGGAGCAAGTGAAGAGGAGAGCGGCCAGAGAAGGAAGACAGCTGACAGGTAAGTGCAAATTTTGCTGCTGCAGCCAGGTATGTTGCCTGTAGATGAGAGAGAGGGAGAGAGAGCGAGCCCAGGCTGGAGCAGGGGTCAGCAAGGTAAGTATCATTGGTGTCAGTGGGAGGAATAGTGCCCCATCATTTGTGTCACTAATACCAACGATGGGGCACTATTCCTCCCCCACTGACACCAACGATGGGGCACTATTCCTCCCCCCACTGACACCAACGATGGGGCACTATTCCTCCCCCCACTGACACCAACGATGGGGCACTATTCCTCCCCCCACTGACACCAACGATGGGGCACTATTCCTCCCCCCACTGACACCAACGACGGGGCACTATTCCTCCCCCCACTGACACCAACGACGGGGCACTATCCTCCCCCCACTGACACCACGATGACTATTCCTCCCCCCACTGACACCAACGATGGGGCACTATTCCTCCCCCCACTGACACCAACGATGGGGCAATATTCCTCCCCCCACTGACACCAACGATGGGGCACAATTCCCCCCACTGACACCAACGATGGGGCACTATTCCTCCCCCACTGACACCAACGATGGGGCACTATTCCTCCCCCCACTGACACCAACGATGGGGCACTATTCCTCCCCCCACTGACACCAACGATGGGGCACTATTCCTCCCCCTGACCCAATGATGGGGCACTATTCCTCCCACTGACACCAACGATGGGGCACTATTCCTCCCCTGACACCAACGATGGGGCACTATTCCTCCCACTGACACCAACGATGGGGCACTATTCCTCCCACTGACACCAACGATGGGGCACTATTCCTCCCACTGATACCAACGATGGGGCACTATTCCTCCCACTGATACCAACGATGGGGCACTATTCCTCCCACTGATACCAACGATGGGGCACTATTCCTCCCACTGACACCAACGATGGGGCACTATTCCTCCCACTGACACCAACGATGGGGCACTATTCCTCCCACTGACACCAACGATGGGGCACTATTCCTCCCACTGACACCAATGATGGGGCACTATTCCCCCAACTGACTGACACCAATGATGGGGCACTATTCCCCCCACTGACACCAATGATGGGGCATTATTCCTCCCACTGACACCAATGATGGGGGCACTATTCCTCCACTGACACCAACGATGGCGCACTATTCCTCCCACTGACACCAGCGATTGGGCACTATTCCTCCCACTGACACCAACGATGGGACACTATTCCTCCCACTGACACCAACGATGGGGCACTATTCCTCCCACTGACACCAACGATGGGGCACTATTCCTCCCACTGACATCAATGATGGGACACTATTCCTCCCACTGACACCAATGATGGGGCACTATTCCTCCCACTGATACCAATGATGGAGCACTATTCCTCCCACTGATACCAATGATGGAGCACTATTCCTCCCACTGATACCATGATGGGGCACTATTCCTCCCTCTGACACAGTGATGTGGCACTACTCCTCTCACTGACACCAATGATGTGGCACTACTCCTTCCACTGACACCAATGATGTGGCACTAGTCCTCCCACTGCAAAATTACAGTTATGAAGTAGCAATGAAAATAATTTTATGGTTGGGGGTCACCACAACATGAGGAACTGTATTAAGGGGTCGCGGCATTAGAAAGGTTGAGAACCACTGCTTTAAATAGACTTTAAGTTGATTGTTATTTTTGCCATATCCCCTTTCCCCCTCATATATCTCATCTCATTTCATCAAAACTTTCACCTCCCTAATCCTGCACATTGACCCACCATCTCACCAATGTATAGGACCTATAAATTAACCCCTTAACTTCATTCTCCCTGGACATTAATGATACACTGTATCTAGTGCACCATTACCAAGCCCCATATTTTAATCACAAGCATTTTTTTTTAATTTTTAAAAATTGTGGCAAAATACAGTAGATTATTATGCTCTGTCTACTTTCCATAAACTTTGGAGGTTTTTCATACTCTCCTGATATTTTTAGTAGATATGTTTTATAACAAAGTTATAAAAGTTTTCAAAATGTTTGGTCTTTTTTTTTTTTTTAATAAAAAAAAATATGGTTATTAAATAAGAATTATTAGGCTAGTACTCCAGTGGATAAAGGAAGGGTATAGTGTTCTTTTTTATTTCTTAAGTATGGTAAGGTCTAAAAAATTAAAAAGTACATTTTTTATTCAAGTACAGTAAATGGGAAATGTTGCATGATAACATTATGTAGTCTTCTATTTGGCCAGCAGGTGGAACTCTAGCTTTCTTTCACATGTGAAGTACTATTAGTCTTAGCTGTGCTGAAAAAGGCCTTTTTGCTCAATAAATCATTACAGCAGTGACCACTCCCTTATTAGACTGACTAGTAGTTCAGGCTTTCAGCAGGCAAATAAAACCTTAAAGCGGAGTTATAGTCATGTTTGTGTTTATTAAAAGTCATCAGCTACAAAAACTGTAGCTGCTCACTTTTAATAAACACACACACTTACCTGTCTCAGGGCCCAGCGATGTGCTCACCCACACCGTCCCTTCTCTCCTTCTCTCCAAGGCGACAGCCTCTCAACTGTTGGCACCAGGCTGTGACAGCTTGCAGCTTTACAGTCGGGTTCCCACTGAGCATGCTCAAGTCACGCTGCGCATCCTGATTGGTCTGGCAGTCTTCTGGGACCTGTGAAGGTTCCCAGGAGACTGCAGAAGGAAGGAGGACGAACTTCCGGCTCACTTTGCTGCCGTGAACTGAGCTGGAAGTGGGTACCTGTCAAAAACAGGTACCCACTCCACCCAAAAGGTGCCAATATGGCAGTGGAGTAGGGGAGGAGGCAAGCAAGCGGAGCTTCCACTTTTGGGTGGAACTCCGTTTTAAAGTCCAATTCCAGGCACAATCATTTGCCTCTGTTTAGATATGCTGTCTTATAGCTCTGCTTTAAATGCTTTAAAGACCAACTCTGGGCAGAAAAAAAATTATCCGAGGCTGTTTTATCCAAGGGAGAGGAGCTGGGATTTGAATGACCCCTAAATGTATTACCTATATTGTACAGCTGCTGCTATACTTACAGCTCACTCCAGACATTACAATTATCTATCTATCTATCTATCTATCTATCTATCTATCTATCTATCTATCTATCTATCTATCTATCTATCTATCTATCTGTCTGTCTGTCTGTCTGTCTGTCTGTCTGTCTGTCTGTCTGTCTATCAATACAGTTTATTTAGATCATTGCATGAAAGTAAGGTAATAATATAACAGTTTACAAAATCTTCAGTTTTACTCAAATTAGTTGATACAAAAATGAATACACCCCACAACAAAAACTACTATATCTAGTATTTTTGCATGATCTCCATGATTTGTAAGGACAGCACCAAGTCTTCTAGGCATGGAATCAACAAAGTGGCGACATACTGCAACATCTACGTATCTTTTTCAATTCTTCAAGAACAACCTTTTAGAGCCTGGATGCCGGATGGAAAGTGATGCTCAATTTGTCTCTTCAGAATTCCCCATAGGTGCTTGATTGGGTTCAGATCAGAGGACCTACTTGGCCACTGTTCTTCTTCAGAAATGCAATAGTGGCCTTAGATGTGTGTTTTGGATCATTGTCATGTTGGAAAAGTGCACGACAACCAAGGACATGGAGTGATGGTAGCAGCTTCTCTTTCAATATAGAGCAGTACATCTATGAATTCATGATACCATCATTGAAATGCAGCTCCCCGACACCAGCAGCACTCATGCAGCCCCACAGAAGGACACTGCCACCACCATGTTTCACTGTAGGCACCATGCATTTTTCTTTGTACTCCTTACCTTTGCGACACCATACAATTTTGAAGCCATCAGTTCCAAAAACATTTATCTTGATCACTCTAGAGTACAGAGTCCCAGTAGTCTTCTTTTTCAGCATGGGCCCTGGCAAATTATAGGTGGGCTTTTTTTGTGCATGAGCTTTAGGAGAGGCTTCCTTCATGGAAGACACCCATGCATGACGTTCCTCTGCAGTGTACACCGTATTGTGTCACAGGAAACAATCACCCTAGTTTGGCTTTCTACTTCTTTAGCTAACTGCAGTGAACATGCATGGTGATTTTTTTCAACCCTTCTCATCAGAAGATGCTTCTGTCGAGGTGTTAACTTCCGTGGACAGCCTGGACATCTCTGTGAGATGGTTGCAGTTCCATATTTGTTAAATTTTTGTATCACTTTTGCTACAGCATTCTGACTGATAAGTAAAGCTTTGCTGATCTTTTTGGTAGCCTTCACCATTCTTGTGTAAAGAAATTAATGTCTTTCTCAGGCCTCAGTGACATTTCTCTTCAATGTGGTGCCATTGCTGACAGCCCTTTTATAATCAGCTGTCTCCAGGACACCTGTTTAGACTTACCTGTAGTTGAATTCTTGTTAATTAGGATTTTGTTGTCTAAGATATAGCTTTGCTCCTAAGACTTTCATTGGGCTGTATTCATTTTTGCAACATGGTCTTGAATGAATTTGTTAGGAAGAATACTTTTGTGTGTGTGCAAATTAACAAATCTTGTTTGCAATCAATGGCCCGCATTTGTGGGAGTATTAGTAGTCTAGTGTTCCATAGAAAATGTTGATTCTGAAAGTAAAGTAAAGGTTTTATGACAAATATGTTGGGATGTACTCTGAGCACTGTATATATATATATATATATATATATATATACTATATTGCCAAAAGTATTGGGACACCCCTCCAAATCATTGGATTCAGGGGTTCCAATCACCTCCATGGCCATAGGTGTATAAAAGTAAGCACCTAGGCATGCAGACTGCTTCTACAAACATTTATGAAAGAATGGGTCGCTCTCAGGAGCTCAGTGAATTCAAGCTTGGCACCGTGATGGGTTGCCACCTGTACAATAAGTCCATCCATGAAATTTCCTTGCTACTAAATATTCCAAGGTCAACTGTTAGTGGTATTATAACAAAGTGGAAGCAACTGAGAACAGCAGCTCAGCCATGCATGCTGAAGCGCCAAGTGCGCAGAAGTCACCAACTGTCTGCAGAGTGAATCACTAAAGACCTCCAGATTTTGTGTGGCCTTCAGATTAGCACAACAACAGTTTGTAGAGAGCTTCATGGAATAGGTTTTCATGGAGCCATACATCGCCCAGTGCAATACAAAGCGCCGGATGCAGTGGTGTAAAGCAGACCACCACTGGACTCTAGAGCAGTGGAGATCTGTTTCTTTGGAGTGATTAATCACATTTCTCTGTCTGGCAGGAGAAAGGTACTTGCCTGATTGCATTGTGCCAAGTGTAAAGTTTGGTGGAGGGAGGATTATGGTGTGGGGTTGTTTCTCAGGCGTTGGGCTTGGCACCTTAGTTCCAGTGAAGGGAACTCTTAAGGTGTCAGCATACCAAGACATTTGGACAATTTCATGCTCCCAACTATTTGGGGATGGCTCCTTCCAACATGACTGTGCGCCAGTGCACAAAGCAAGGTCCATAAAGACATGGATGAGTGAGTTTGGGGTGGAAGAATTTGACTAGCCTGCACAGAGTCCTGACCTCAACCCAATAGAACACCTTTGGGATGAATTAGAGTGGAGACTGCGAGCCAGGCCTTCTTGTCCAACATCAGTGCCTGACCTCACAAATGTGCTTCTGGAAGAATGGTCAAACATTCTCATAGACACCTTGTGGACAGCCTTCCCAGAAGAGTTTAAGCTGCAAAGGGTGGACCAACTCAATTCTGAACCCTATGGGCTGAGACTTGGATGCCATTAAAGCTCATGTGCATGTAAAAGCAGGTGTTCCAATACTTTTGGCAATATAGTGTGATAGTGTGTGTGTATATATATATATATATATATATATATATATATATATACATACATACACACATACATACTGTGTACTGTATATATAAAAAAATGCCAATGACATGAGAGGAATTTTATTTTTTTTTTTTAGATATGTTGATAACATTATTTACATCAAGCTGATCTCTTTTACAAATATATGTAAAAATTGATGAAAATTTATAGTATAAAATAGTATAAATTATACACTCTTGTCATATATCCTCATCTGTTCCATTTATGTTGGCCATACGTTTTACCCATAAAACCCAAATGAGCCCATAAAAACTGAAATAAACTTCAGTTCCAACAATTAATAAAAGTAGAGATGTAGCAACTAAAAGGTTAATACCTGCTAATTGGTGACTAATTTCCACACACATTTGCCACCTGTTCTATACAGATAAATGTATTTTGTGCCTTTTCATCAAATTGTTGTTCTAAATTTGTGTCAGCAATTATCAGAAATTACTGCATTAAGAGGAATGTCGACACTGTCTGCAGCTTCCAGGCTCAGCAAATCACCCCATCTCACTAAATGGCTTCCTTTTGATGAGATCCTTGCTAAGATGCAAAATGTTATCCACACTGCTAGCTCAGAATAGTGTTTTATTTAACACGTTTGTGTATTTCCACTTATGAACTGTTCACCTTTGAGCTTTAAGTTGACCAAGGGGGTCTACACCCTGGTCCGTGTTTAGGCTGGTTGTGCACATTAGCTAATGATCCTAGCTCTGCTCACTTATTCTTTCACCCAAATATACATATGGATATACAGTACATACATCCTGCAAGAGAATGTGCCTGTATCATAAGCTCACACCTCCCTGTATTGCTTCTATGCTGGGGAATTATTATAGTCAAAGTATTCAACTCTGCCCTTCTTTCTTCCAAAATTGTTCCTCTTTTTGGCCCAATGCAAGGATCTTTAATAAATAATGTATTATTTAACTACCAAACCTGTATTACTGCACATACAGTTTGCCTAACCTTTAAATTATTCTTCTTTATTTTGAAAAGCCAAAATAAAAAAACATAGCGATTAGAAATGTTTGGCTTAAACCAGGGAGGCTCAAGCTTTTGAAGAGCGAGGGCCACTTAAGTGATTTGGTAATAAGGCGCAGACCAAAATGAAATGAAGTAGGTAAATTGTATCCTGTCTAAATTGTCCCTAGTATATGTATGTATGAATGTGAGTTAGGGACCTTAGATTGTACACCCCTTGAGGGTTAGGGACTGATGTGAATGTACAATATATAATGTAAACACATCTCAACTAGAGCCTCCTCTAAGCCTACAGGAGGAAAATGGAGGGGATTTTCACACTGATGCCTGGGCCAGGAGTTACAGAAGAGGAAGTATTGGCTTATACGGCTCCTGCTCACTGATGCCTCCACGGCTACTTGCTTCCTCCGCTGCTGGTGCTGGCAACATGCACTCTGATGCTCTGGGATGGAGAGTCAGCAACCCAGTATCTTGACTTGCTGACCTGCCATCCCAGAGCATGAGGTTGGGGGCCACATCAGAGGGCTCTATGGGCACTTGTGATCTGTGTGCCATGGGTTGAGCACCTCTTGCTTAAACCAATCATTTTTTGCACATTAATCTTCATGCTGCATGTTATTAACGGCATAATAGGGGTGTGCCCTTTGCTATACATTTCATTTTATCATAAATCTTTCTTTCCCATCCTACAGAGTTGGGAGGTATAGATATCCAAATCACAGATCGATCATGGTGGTGCTTACTGGATCAGGCAATAATTATCTAACCCATATGATAGTCTTTGTAAACTATGCAGTTTGAATAGTATGAATTATAGTCTGTAGAATACACATATTGTTATATACAACCTTGTATAAATATACTGATATAATATTTAAAAATGTATCTTTTCTAGTAGACACAGGGGGACTGTCATTGCTGACCTCTTTCTTAAAAGTTAACTGCCTACCTGTTTCCCAGACCCTCTGGCTTTGATATTTTCTGGGGGGCTTAATCACACTAGGATGTATGTACCGTGACCTAGCACATTTGATTCTCAATGTACAGTTCGGTGTATCGGCCCATTTGAAAGAAGTGGTCTGCAGCCCGGTTTAGTTGGATTGTTGCATTTCTGTGGTCACTAACATGCCTAAGCATGGAACCCAAATGTTAGAGCAGATTAGATCTATTTATGCTCACTATGGTAGTAAGGGTACAGATGAGTGAGTACAATGTGCGTGTAGGCAATCAAGGGCATAGGGAAGTGGGACAATCATGCTTGGACATAGTACAAGGCAACAGGGTCCAATATGAGTATAGCCAAGTCCTTGACTCAGTATGCCTAGTAAAAAACTCAGAGTCACGTTAAAGATGTGGTGAAAGAAAGAGGTTCAACATGACAGCTAGGCAGCTTAGAGGTAGCAAAGAGAGCCTTCATATTTCTCTAAAAATGTTTCTTTTAATGGGTCATTTGAAATATAGACACAACTGACACCTTCATAGGGTTATCATAAATCTAGATCCTCAATCCCAGTGACCTTTAGCTCTCTTAGTATGAGTTTTTATAATACTGCATATTGTGTGTAGATATGCAGGTGCAACAGCTTTAAAGTGGAACTTAACTGTATCTGAGCACCACAAACTGAAAATGCTGTTTAATTCATTTTTGTTATGCAAATGAAAACCACCCATTTATGCCTGTTTCCATACTTTATTTTGTTGAGAAATAACTTTTAAAAACACCTCCCTAGCATTTCTAGCCTTGGCCATTTTAAGTAAGGGCAGATGACTCATGTGGCATTTACTTCCTGGAATCCACCTGCCCTTAGCTGAGGCATGCCGGCAGAAGGATGTGCTTAGCTGAGAAAGTCCCTCCTCGCCTCCTCCAGATTAAAGAAAAATAAAGGCCCACAAAGAATCCTGGGATGCATGGCATCATTATTGCTAGGCCAGAAACCAGGAAGCAACTAAAGCAATATAAAATAAAAGTTTAAAGCAAGCAAATATAATATAATATACCTTCATATCTATTTACAATGTACTAATGCTAAGAGCATAAGGATTAAATATAGTTGATTGAGAGAATTTGATTTTACTTTAAGGGAGAAAGTTGCGGTGGGTGTACTCCTTTATGGGGACAGATAGTGGTTTGAATGCCCCTGCTCCATCGGGAAGCACTCATAAGATTTAAATGATAGTTTTTTTACTGCTCGTGATATTACAAAGTTCCTGTGAATGCTACATGTGGCACAAAGTACCTCATACACAGGGCTTTTTTTCTCACAAAATAGATGCAGAAACTTCCCCCTTCTGAGTCACCTGTCTCCGCCCCCCCAACCCACCTCCGAACACCTTCACTTGGTTCCACCCCCTACCCACCTCCCAGTACCACTTCTTACAGAGAAATGTATAATTTAGTGGTGCTAAATAATTTATATGGAATTTGTTAATGATAACAAGAAATTCAGAAAAATAGATCCCCACAGCCAGCAGCATTAGACCCCCTCAGCAACAATAGATTCCTCCAGCAACAATGGACCCCCAAAACAAAATACCATCATAAAACAATAAACCCCCAGAAACTACAACAGATCTCCTAGCATCCAGCATCAATAGACTCTCCAGCAGCCAGCAACAATAGACCTTTCCCTCAACAGTAGATCCCTTCCAGCAACAATTGACCCCCATCAACAATAGATCCCCCACCAGCAACAATAGATCACCACGAATATAGATCCGCTTCAATGACAATAGATCCCCCAACAGCCAGCAACAACAGATACTTGAGCACATCCCAGCATCCCTTGCCATTACATACTTTCAGTGCTGGAGGTACCACCGCGTTCCCCCACTTAAAAAAAAGCCCTGCTCATACCTATGGTATATGAAAAATCAAGTTACTGTGTGGAAACTGTGTCTATTCCTATTTTATACATACATAGATAAGCTCTTGTTCACTCCTTATGTGCTAAATTCATTAACAAAGAACAATTTTATCTCTTAGTGCCAGCCAAAAGACTGGCTTAAAGAACATGTGCTACTACTATTACTTTTCTGTTTGGCAGTTGTCAGATATTATCAGCTATGGACATTTGTAAGAAATCTAAGCTGAGAGTTTAGCTGGCTGATCTCTTATATTTATATGTAATTAAATGAGTTTTAAAAGATATCTAAACCCAAAAACTAAAATGTTATATACTGCAGCTTACCAGTCTTTAGATGTGGTGGATGCATTAAAATTATTTAAAGCCCCAAACACATTGCAGCTGGGAAATGCCAAAAAAATTATGATATCCAGAATTATTATTAGCTGATACTTTAAATGCCTTTACAGTTCATTATTTTAGAGGGACCTAGAACTATTTCTCTCACTCCAGTGTGCATTGCAGTAACCAATATATTTTGTACAAATGTTGTTTACATACATGTGTGTCCTACGTGCAATTTGTGTTTGTCCGTGTGGACGAGGACATATTTTAGTTTTTTTAAAATTTGTATTCATATATTATATTTTACAATTTAACACGTTTTATTTGTTTATTAATTTTATTAACTTAACTACATTGCTATCACAAGGAGCTAACAAGCCCTCTATGTCATAGCACTGAGTAGGTGACAGTTACACTTTATAGAGACTTCAGGTGT